AGTTGTTTATAAGGTATGAATCTTCAAAGGCACAGAAATAATTAGACCAGTCTCTACTGAATATAGATAGAGATGTCTGAGATTCTCCTCCATCAAGTACAGAAAATGTATGCAATGTTCCATGATTATGTTAACAATATTACCAGAATTTGATAACCTCCAGATGTGTTGGGAGGAGAAAAGCATAGAGCTCTAGTCTAACACTTCAGAGAGTTAGAAAGGGCTAATTTAGAGTTTTCTATCAACATTTTTTTTCTTGGAGTTTTTTTGGGTGACTTATATTTCTTTTCTGCAATTCTTTTTCCTTCCATCCATGCTTTTCAGCTTCCACACTACAACTCCTTTTTTCTCAATTCACAAGGAACTGAAAGAGGCTACTTCTGCAGTTCATTTAATAGCGCTCTTGGTTACCGTGGAAACTACAATGTTCAAAGTTTATTTTCCCTCTCTGACCTGATATTACACTGCATATTTTAATAAAAGCACACACTAGTGCAGCACAAGAGTTTTCATTACAGTTCTTCTGCAGAAGTTGCATCTCTTAAGGGAAAAGAAACCAAGTTCAAGTCAAGTCAATAAACTGCATATTTGGTCTTACGATCTCTCATTTAATGCTGTTTTCAGAATTGGGGATTAGAGGCCTGCTGAATTTTAGGGGAAAGAGGGTTACATAGAGATGGGACTGCCATGGAAAAGCATGCTTCTCATTAGATGACGATATTTGGGGGAAGGGACTAGGAGTGTCCCTGGTAGGAAGAGTAGATGTTCTCAGGGAAAGCCTTTCTCTTTCCCTTTAGCATTGTTTTTTAGACATCTTAAACAGAACATAGAAAATTATGCTTTAACATGTCATTTATTTATTTAAAATATTTAGCTATCTGCCCATCCTCTACCAATCAATGGTCGGTTCCCAAGCAAGAATTGAAAGAAAAAAATGTAAAAAATGTAAAAACTATTAAAAGTTTAAACATTAAAAAGAAAAACCTGGCACCAAATCAAGCTTCCAACATGGAGTCACCTCATCTTATCTTTGCAGATAAAACGAAGCCTTTTTGGAAAACTAGAGGATTAGAGGCCTGCTGAATTTTAGGGGAAAGAGGGTTACATAGAGATGGGACTGCCATGGAAAAGCATGCTTCTCATTAGATGACAATATTTGGGGGAAGGGACTAGGAGTGTCCCTGGTAGGAAGAGTAGATGTTCTCAGGGAAAGCCCTGTGCCATAGAAGGTTTTAAAGCAGTGGTTCTCAACCTTTTTAATGCCGCAACCCCAACCGGTCGTAAGTCGAGGACTACTCAACCGGTCGTAAGTCGAGGACTATTCAACTGGTTCAGCACCGTTTGCAGAATGGGACTTTTGGCGGGCTCAGCAAGGCAGAGACAGCCTGGACAATTCCTATTGGAATTGACAATTCTCTATTCAAGAGAGTCTATTCTATTGGCTTTCAAAAGCCAGTAGAATAAAGGGAGTAGCACAGCTAAGGAAAAGGGGGGAAAATGGCTGACTGCATTGTTTGGCGATCCCCGTGAAATGGTCGTTCGACCCCAAATGGGGTCCCGACCCACAGGTTGAGAACCACTGCTTTAAAGGTTACATATTCCAGCACCTTTTAACAATTTATCATTAACTGCCAATGCTTCATCTTTTTCCGCCTTAAAATCTGGAGAATGCTCTTTAGAGATGGAAACTGATGTGTGAAAACAAATCTTGAATGAAGTTGAGCTCCACACAGCAAATGTTGAGAAACTGATCCATTAATTATACTATTTACTCTTTTCAAAGGCTTAGTGGGGAATGGAGTAAGATTTTAAAAAAGAGCTCGTAGCATGTAGATAGTTGGATTTAATTTTATCATGTAACATGAATAGATTATAAAGAAATTAAATTTACCTTCCCACTCAATGTTTCTGGATTTAGAGCAGGAGGGTGGAAGAGGGAGGTTGCGCACTTTGACGTTGTCTCTCAAACCTTCTATTTAGAAACAGTAAGTATCTGTTTGATTGGAACTGACCTACACATACATGCTTTCAAACCACCCTTAAAATGTGGTCCCATATATAGGGTATATGTGAGGGAGAAAAAGGGATGACAAAAGAGTACATTGGCCACAGCCTGCAATGAGACTTTTTAATTACCAACAAAATAAAATATTGAACTGATTAATCAACTAAACACTAAGTCCTAAAAGTATGATAACCTGAACAAGTAAATCAGAGGCATCATATAACAATTGAGGCAGACAGACATTTAAAACTTCAGTTAAAACTGAAGGCAAATTCAACTCTTATACCTAAAAACATGGTTACTTGGTAACCATGTCTCATCACACAGGCTTTTCTGGGTGCAAATAATAATGCTGCATCTTTTTGCTGGGAGTGACTGAATAATCTAATTACACCAATATAGAGGCAGAACAGAGTTATAGAGAATATGGTAGAAGAAAATAGAATCCAGATATATATTAGGCAACATATTCTATGGATAGCTGCTTGGCCTCCCGTTTTTTTTTTTTTTACTATTCCATTTATTGTTTCTGAATAACACTGGTAGTTGTATTAAGATCCATACATTTGCACATATAAATTTGAGGAATTTAAGCTCATGAGGCCCATGAGCTTAAATTAATTTTTAAAATTTATTTAAATATTGAAATATAACAACAACAACAATAATAGTCACTTTGAATGTACATCAAAATGAAATTTCATTGCATGCAGCTCTCAAAGGCTCATCACCTCCAATATACACTCCTTGTTTGTGGCCAGCTCATTTTAGTCTGTAGGGAGCGAACGATGGCAAACAGGACAGATGGAAATGGAGGTCCATGTGGATTAGCCCTCAAATTAGTATTCATGCACGACAACCTCAACTACTTTTCTTTTTCTGATCCTGTCTCTTCCACCGTTTAAATATGAATTTAATTATACAGAAAGAATAATAACCGAACATAATAAACTACAAATTTGATGGCAAAAACTATTGGAATTGCTTAAAACATGCCTTTTCAGCTAGGATGAGATAGGCTAATTTGGTAAATAAAATTTCTCGTTTACTGTTCTATGAATAATGATAAAAAACTTGGTTTCTTTGCACGCCATAAGAAACAAATTGCCAGAAAATTATAGCTGGAATGTCATCCTATGTAGGGCCCTTATAGATCTGGCCAAAGACATTTTGCATTACTGCTCAAACAAAGACAAGACGTGCAACCTCATTTCATAGATGGTGAATATAGAACTAGTAAGGCTAGGGGGATGGGAAGATTTCCTTGAATTTGTCATCTCATTTTATACTTCCAGATGCTTGAAGCTTTTGGTAGCCTATCAAACCACATGATCTGTTGCCATAGTGATGAGAAACTCTTGTCTTTTCAAATCTGGACTGATGATTTGCATTCAACTCCCATTTCCACAGAGAAAAACAAATGCATACACACAAACAGAATTGTACTCTAATTCACTTAAGTCTTACTCAGACAATTTTCTACTAGCACAACTACGATCTAAATTCTCCCCTCAGTAGCTGCTCTGATTTATTTCACAGTACTGCCAAATCTTAATAGTTCTACAATTGAATGATACAAATTCAAATGAAATACAGGATTCAAAGGCAATTGTGATAGTTTGTTGACTATCTTATTTCTTGAACATTGGATTTTCTTGTTTACATAATGACTATGGGAAAACATAACTGTATACCTGAATTTCAGCATGATTTGAAGGAATTCAAAAAGAACTGTTGTTGCATTCTTATAAATGTGTCTATATATTTTAGGATGTGAAAACTGCAATGTTCTATCCTAGACTTTTGAGATCAAGGTTTTTTCCGTACATATGCCATCATTCATAGACTATATCCAGGATTTTTTTCACAGTTATCTGGGGTAGCACAGTTGGAAACAGATGAGATATAATCAAACCCACCGAGAAGCTGTTCAGCAAACTCTACTCAACTGAACATAAGCTGCTTCATGAGTCTGCATGAGACACTATTTGGATTGTTATATTTGATATTAATATGCTTTGGCAGTCTCGATACCTATCCAACAACATATTTTACATGGTTATTCTCCATACAGGCCTTTTGTGGGATAGGCACCCGATACCTAGGGTTGTTGTATTTTTTTAACTTTCAGTTCACAAATACAAATTCTGTGGTAGTATGTGAACTTCACACAACTTGAAACGATGGATAAAGCCACCATCAGTTATGGAAAATGGGTAACCACGTCACAATTTAGAATGCAAATAAAAGCAGAGCTGTCAATTATTTAATTCATTATGTCTGAGAAAGGAGTAACTTGCCTAATATGTCATATCTCTAAATTAGTTCCTAAACAACAATAGCTTAAAGAAGTGCTGAATCCTCCGTAGATGAAAAATGAGCCCCAGAAAATCTCACCAAGGATGTTCATTGTTGTAATATGTTCATGGCCTGCGAAGAATCATAACGGATCAGAATTTTATTGTGTTTCTTGCTTTCTGTGCTTTTGAAACTGTAAAACCTGAAATACAGTATTCTGGGGACTAGCATTTTATACCTAGGCACTTCAGGTAAGCTCCTATGAAATACTTTCACCATCTTAAAAAGATTAATAGATATGATATAACATAAATTAGTGTGGATTTTTCCTCCTTCTACAATTCCCACTGCCAAATTATGATGCAATTCATGAAAGGATATGCAACAATAAAGCTGTCTTTCTTTAAAGTGCTACAAGATTTCTTAGGATGGGGTGGGTTTTTTTTTGCAATAAATCAGCATGGCTACTGCTTTAGACTGTTCCTTTTGCTAAAGTTCCAACTTTACATTTTGCTAATTACCCAGGTTTAAGAAATGATGAAAAATCATATACAGTAGTATTGAGTGGGAGATATCTAACATTCAGTATACTGTAATTAAGTACATCTGATGTAACTGTAATCATGAGTGCCACATGAGCAGAAAGGTGAGACGACATCATCATCATCATCATCATCATGTCAAAGAACTGGCTTACCCAGAAAGCACTCCCAGGACAAGGTTGAGAACAAAAAACGATCCAATTATGATGAGGGGAATGAAGTACAACCAATTCCAGGTGGCTCCTAAGGCATCATTGGTCTGAAAGAAAAACAAAAATAAAAAAATAACCTGAAGTTGCACTACATGCAGCCTTTGCTGTACACAAAGAAGTCTTTTTTTTTTTTACTAAATGTCTTATATTTGTAATCCTATTTTGTTGCCAAGTTTAAAATCCACGCAACAGTGACATGTGAAAATGCCCTTTAATATGGCTCCAAAACTGATTTGTGCTCAATAGCTTTATCCCTGTGGAAAGTTTGGCAATTCTAATGTTCTCAATAGAATTGCCAAACTTTCCACAGGGTATAGTATAGAACTCTTAGGCCTGTTACCCAAGATGTCACATCTGACCCTATTCAGCATAGGTGGACTGAAAAGGACTGCAAACAGTAGGGATAACAAGAGGAAGCTTGTGACATTTTGACTGCACTTTTTCCAGACTGCATTTGTTGCAAGCTCACCTAGAGCATAATGTTCTCATCACTTAATTGCATGTAGCTATTAATGTCCCCCAAACAGCATTATTTCATCCTAACTAAAATTCAGGGGAGCAGAACAGAGAGGAAAAAAGAAGGCAGCTGCTTAGGAAAGAACAAGTCATGAAGCAAAAGACTGACAGCTTAAAAGGCTTCTGGCAAGGTTGCCCAGGACTATAATATGGTTACTCATTGCCTTTTAATAAGGGCCTGCCCTCTCTCTTCTCTCCAGATCTCTCTTTTGTCCTTTTGGCAAGGATTTTGCCCATGATGTTGGTCAGCACAATGATGCAGCAGAACGTGACTGTCTGAGAAACGCAGCATCCATCTTCATCTTATTAATGTCCTTGGCAATAATTAAACCTCATCTCTTTGACTCATCTGTACATCAATGAAGTGTAAGATCTTCATTTGAGCTTCTTAAAAGGCATAATCTCCAAACACAAGTGGGGAAAATATTATGTGCTTGGCTTATGGGCATCACAAGCTGCAACCTAGCCACCTTCTAAAAACCCATATTGAACACTTTTGAGGTTTGTTTTTATTGTGATTCACTATCCCATTCTAAAATAGAAATACATATAATTGAAAATGCTGGAGCTGGTTTTATGTACAGTACAGATAAAGGAGGAGAATAGAATGGGATGTGAAGTACCAAAAACCTTTTTTGTAACCATCATAACCCCCATCCAATCTTAATCCCTCTAACTAAAGTGTTTTTAGGATTGGGTGTAAATCTCCACTTCTACCAAGATTACCTGGATTACTCAATAAGATCTACAAAGAATTTTCAAGTGGGCAAGTTGAGGCACTGAGGCACTGATAAGAATAGCCCCTTCTCTGTCACTGTCACCAAATGGTTTCTTTTTGAGAACCACTTGAAGCTGTTGCTTTGGTTCTTCCTTTCTTTTGATACTGACAGAATTCCCTAGTGATGAGAAATGGTAAGGGAGCAAATAGGTAAATAAATAAAAGACTTCTCAGCTGATAAGAGTGCCAGACAGCATTAGTGTCGTTTTGAGGTGTGTGGAAACATAAGAGCTCTTTCTGGACTTCTTTTGTGAACCAGGTCTGAGAAAGTGAACAGAATGTATAAACAGTAAATATAGCAATGAAGGAAAATTTTCAATGACACATCACTTATTTCAATTACGTATTTCACTGTATCATTATATTATCACTGGTTCTTTTCCTATGATCATATACAAATAAAGAGGAGGTGGAATCATGACAGACAGTAAAAGCAGCTTGAAGGACACTGCGCACCTGCACTGGGAATATACTTTCAATTAACGGCACTTTGAAGCCAGGACGGTAGCAATATCTTCTCCAGGGATAAACTCACTTAACTGCTTAACTCTTCCTTAAATAAATAGTCACACATGGCAATTATCACACTATTCTACAGAAGGGAATTCAAAAGGAAAAAGAAGAATGGAGGAAAGGAAGTATTACATTGCAGTTTACCAAGAATTACAGTTTGGAGAGCCTCATGAGGCTGCTTCAGCAGAGTGAAACAGAGACTTTCTGGGCTAAAAATAATGTATTGCTGGCTGAACTGTGCTCAGATCAAGATGCTTCAGAATGTAGTGTCTGGAACAAACTAAAATTATTGCTGTGTTGACAGGGCATGAATAGAAGATAAGGTTCTTTATAAAATTTCCATTAAGGCTGACAAAACAAAAGATTTTTATTGTCTGGCAACTGCACTGGCTGAGAATATAGATTAATTCTCTACCCAAAGACAGAGATGCTGTTCTTCCTGCTAAGCTTTACTGAATGAATGTAAAGAAAGCTGATTAGCACAATAACATGAATTATTGCTGCCCACCTCCTGTGCACATTGGATATGATCAAGTTTCACTGAAAACAATTGGATATGATCAAGTTTCACTGAAAACAATTCTAAACTTTTCCAATAAGCCTATTTCATTCAAAAGCCAACTCCACTTAAAACTCCACCCAAAATCTTTATTACCTTCTTCAATAATGGCTTTAGATTAAATGTGTGGCATTTGCTAGAAGTTATTATCACTTATCTCCGAATGAACAGTTGGCACTCTTACTTGGGAAGTGAGACCAAATGATGTCACTTTCCTAAATTTTAGTTTATCCTTCTGTGCTTAGCCCAAGAAGTCTGATTTCACAGTCCTAGAACAGCCTCCTGAGAATGGCATAAGCTGGTTCTCTGGAAATGCTCATAGAGTTAACTTTTCCAATGTTAGTCTGAATAAATTTGAGATTGCATAGAGAGCAAGAAACAAAATCATTGTTACATAGCTGATTTTCTTATCTTTTTTTCTTTTGCTTTAAAAAGACAAAATATTTTTGTTCTTGTTTAGCCAATATTCTAAATTAGAAATAGCCAATTACAAATGGATCCACCATAATTCCAACTGGCACCCTCTGCCCAGCCTCACTGCAGATTGATGGTTCTTACAGGTCTAGTGTCTCCTCCATTGGGAAATGATATATTTCTAATTTCCAGTCTTCTGTACCATTAAGCAATTCTGACCTGCTTTATAGAAGATGGCAGAATTAAAATAAATTATCTCTTCACCCACTATTAATATTCTTGCAAAAGTGTGATGATATTTTTCAAATCTTCTCTGGATGCATTATATATACTTCCAGAATCTGCCACCAATAATTTGTAGTAACACTTAAAAACATGATAGTATCTGCAAGCTGCCTTTCAATAATATTTGACATGCAGGAGGCAGTGTTTGGGAATATCCTTCCAGTTAGTAAGATTTAAGTTGATTTTTATGATACCCGATATGCATTTGTCTAGAACTGAAAACTGGCAGGCAATATCTCTAAATATTGATAATATCTGACACACAGTAGTCACCGTTTGACCTACGTCTGACAGATGGCATGCGATTGTAATAGGTTTTTGACAGCTAGATTTAGAATGCATAAATGTTAAACTAATTTCATTCGTTCATTCAGTTAGCCAACCATACCAAATAGACAAGTTTAATGCTCAAATATAATGTGTGTGGATGTCATTCTCTCTGCGTATCATTCTCTCTCTCCCCCCCCCCATCTCCCAACACATCCAGAGAGAAAGAGGGAGGGAGTTCATTCCAGTTCTAGGATATAACCTCTAAAATAGATCTAATGGACTGAGCATTTGCATTACTGGGAAATATTTGATCAAAGGAGAATTTATTTATTTCACTGCTAAAATATAATACTACCAAATGGCTTAACTATAGAATCACTTTTACATCTTGGCTGACTGAGAAATCTGCCCTTGCCAAGACAGAATATAAATGATTTTCTGGAATAGAAGACCTTGTTATCATAAATAAATTTCTCTGTGTGTGCGTCTATAAATGTTTATTTCACATACATACATGCACACACACACACACGTCTTAAAGAATTATGCACCCCGTGACCAATTAGTCATCCAATACGACAACATTCAGTAAATAACATACGATCTAGCGTTAGATTAGAAACTGAAAAAACATCATTGAAGACATTGGTGAAAAATCATTTCCATATGTTTGCCAAAAAAGCCCTATATGATAATGATCTTTAAGATATCAGTGATAAAGTTCAAGCTTTATTTTTAGTCAATACTGTTTCCTATAAAATAAGTTTTTATTTACAGAACTAAAAAAATAAGTCGACATTTCACTATTTTTATATGTCCTCTTGCTATTTGTCTTTTGGTGCCACTTAAGATTGTGTTCCAGAAAGCACTTTCTCCCATAAACTCCTCCCCTTATTTTGGGATGTAAAATCTAGGTTTGCTTCCTATTTTTAGAATACCAGCTCATTTCAAATGTGAGCAGGATGGCTTTAGGCACAAAGTCCATTTCCACTCTCTGGAACTCTGCCATGAAATCTCACCTAGAAACTCCCTGGTCTCCATATATTAACAAACAAACAAACAAACAAAGAGTATTGTTTTATATAAAGATAAGAAGACCAGAATTTCTGTTGATTTATGGCAATAAAATATATTACCTGGAGGTATAAACATATTTATAACTAATACTGGTAACCTTTTTCTTTGTTTAATGTATATTATTTGGAAATAATGTTATTAATTATATTTGGAAGACTTAGAGGTGAAAGGAAACCAGACCATCAAATAACATAGTGGTTGGACACCATCAAAACTGGCACCAGCCAGAGCATAGAACAACTCAAGCAGTGCAAGACTGAAAGATGTGGAGAGACCTGGCCAATAGAATTGCCAAGAGATGGAATCAACTGAATGAATGACACCATCATCACCACCATATCATCACCATCACCATCATCATCATCATTTAAAAAAAAATTTAAAAAGATTTGCAAAAAAGATTTTAAAAAAATCTTTTTGACTAAACCAAACTGTGTCAGTTATAGCTTAATGGTGTAACATAGTTTAACATATAGACTTTAGTAATCAAATCAAAAATCTTCTGTTAAATTCCTTAAGTAACAGTAAAATGCTGAAACCTATTTTGTTCCAGAGCAAATGTTCTTTTTGTTGCCCACTAAAGCCTCCTCCGCCTCTTCCTAATCAATCATTACTTTGGTATCTCAATTCAGAAA